CCCAATAGCTGGGTTTGTCCCTTTTTAACCCAGCGCTGGGTTATATTTAACCCAGCATTTTTTAGAGTGTGTGTGTGTGTGTGTGTGTGTGTAATTGTTAATATTTTCATAAGTAACTGTAATTTAATTGCAAATTTTTTGCTCAGTAACTGTAATGGAATACAGTTAAATTTATTTTGTAATTAAATTACGTAACACACTCTAAAAAAAAGGCTGGGTTAAATACAACCAAGTGCTGGGTTTGTCCCTATTTTACCCAGCTCTGGGTTGTATTTAACCCAGCATTTTTTTGAGTGCACCGTTACATGTATCTAGTTACTCCCTAACACTGCTCAGTATATTTCACCATGCTGAAATGACATGACCTGCAGTGTTTCACTAGACGCAAGAGAGAATCCTCACATTCATTGGCTGCTGCCAGTGTAGATACGCTAGTAGTGTTGTTTGGTGATTCACAGAGCAAAAATTTGACAAAACATCCTTATTATTGGGCTTTGTCAGCGGTAACAATGGGAGAAGCAGCAGAAAATGTCTGAAGCCAGAAGACAGAAAGTAAAGACAGTAAACAGGTGTAAAGATTTGATGCAAAGCAATGCGCGGTTCTTTTTGGTTGAACATGTGAGGGGTTAATTATTGTGTAGACCACTCTCTAAACTCACCAATATCAGTGTAATTTATATAAAACTCAGGGACAATATAGATGGCAGTGCAGCATCTAACACCATTGTGGTATCGGTACGTAAAGTACATGAAGAATAGCGATGCAAATGCTAGCCAGAGAAGTACTGAATGCTCCTTTAAAATGTTTAGAGTACTATTCCTTTCAAAAAATAACCACAGTAATTAAAAACAAACATTAAAAATGATTGTATCATACCTGTGATTTTGAGTGAAACTCAAATGGCAGGTATGAATGCAAAGCAGATATGTTGTGGGAAATGTTCACCATTAGTCCAATGCTAAAAAATACAAAAGAGTTAGTTGGATAGTCTACTCATACATGTACTGTACATTCAACTAATAAGAAATAATTTTGTGACATTTCCTACAAGACTTCTGTACCTGGAGATATCGTGGTGACCTTGAAGATCGAATGAGAAAGCTGACCTCTGGGAGTTATAAAGACTAGCTCTGATTCCAACCTACACAAATATCAGGACGGGTTCAGATGTGCTTCACCATATGATACAAGCACAATCCAATGTTCACAACGATCACTGAACCATTCTTCAAAAGAAGAAAAACGCTCTTAAATGTTCTCACCCACATACCTTCAGTGAGTCTTCCTGGTCTTGCCCAGAGCAGACGGCCAGCAGGTGGCCTGTGTCGATCCCCTCTGTGCAGTTCACCTGTAAAAACAAGCCTCCAGGCCTTCAGTTTGCTTTGCTCGTAGGAGAGGAGTGTGGAATCAGAGGCATTTCCCTTCATCAACATGGGAAATGACCCAGAGTGTAGAAGGGGTTTCTGGAGCATCCACATAGATACTAATGCATGTTAAACTGATGCTGTTTATTCTTCAATAAGTAATTATCAATCTGTGTTTAAGTGTGATTAATGTATGCATCACAGGTGTTTTCAAAACAAACACAGATCCAAGTTCAACCTATATAGGTGTTAGAAAGGTTTCGGGACTAGCAGATTTATTTATTCCATTGCAAAAAAACTTTTTGACACCAAGGACCCTTGTGATCGATGATGATCCCCTTTCCTGACATATAAAGGCAGCTACATAGTTTTTTATAAAAAAAATGTATACAGTGTGAGAGAAATATTAAATGTATAGTTCACCTAAAAATTAATAGTCTGTCATCATTTTCTCACCCTCGTGTTGTTCCAAACCTGCATGACTTTCTTTCTTCAGTGGAACTTAAAATAAGATATTTTGACAAAATGTCTGTGTTTTTTGGTTCTTACAGTGGACGTCAATGGTCACCAAAATTATTTGCTTATTAAACATTCTCTAGAACCCAAAATAAAAAATAAGATTTTGAAAAACGTCTCAGTGTTTTTGGCCATACAATGAACATTTTTCAAAAGATCTTCTTTTGTGCTCCACAGAAGAACGAGGGTGAGAAAATTTCATATTCAATGTATTATTACATTAAATAATGGTAATGGACCATTAGCGAGTATGAAAGATGTTAAAGGGATAGTTCACCCAAAAATGAAAACTCAAAAAATGAGTAATGCATCATATGAACTACTTTATAGGGCTTTTATGGTCATTTTTGCCTTTTTATGAGCTTGACAGTCATAGTCTTTTATTCTGCTTAAAGGGATAGTTCACCCAAAAATGAAAATTTGATGTTTTATCTGCTTACCCCCAGGGCATCCAAGATGTAGGTGACTTTGTTTCTTCAGTAGAACAAAGATTTTTTAACTCAAACCATTGCAGTCTGTCAGTCTTATAATGGAAGTGAATGGGAATCACGGCTTTGAGATTAAAATAAAAAAAACCTGCGTCTCGTGACGATACATTGATGTGCAAAGACACGAAATGGTCAGTCTGTGGAAGAAAATTAACAGTATTTATATCATGTTTTTACCTCTGATGCACTGCAATGTCTGAACTGTCCTGAGCGCGTCCCGAGCGCGTTCTCGTCAGCCGCCGCGTGACGCATCTTCTTCTTGCTTTACGGTGGATCGCAGACTTATAAGTGCATTACCGCCACCTATCTCTCAAGTGGACCATTGACACTCCTAATTGAGATTGTAGATAGAGTGTCAATGGTCCATTTGAGAGATAGGTGGCGGTAATGCACTTATAAGTCTGCGAGCCGTCTTAAAGCAAGAAGACGCGTCACGTGCTGGCTGTCGAGGACGCGCTCAGGACAGTTCAGACATTGCAGTGCATCACAGGTAAAAAACGATATAAATACTGTTCAGTTTCTTGCACAGACCGATCGTTTCGTGTCTTTACACATCAATGCATCGTCACAAGATGCAGAGTTTAATTTGGTTTTGTTTGTGTGTTTTTTTTTTAGTCTCAAAGCCGTAATTCCCATTCACCTCCATTATAAGACTGACAGACTGCAACGGTTTGAGTTAAAAATCTTCGTTTGTGTTCTACTGAAGAAACTAAGTCACCTACATCGTGGATGCCCTGGGGGTAAGTGGATAAACCTCAAATTTTAATTTTTTGGTTTAAGCAGAATAAAAGACTATGACTGTCAAGCTCATAAAAAGGCAAAAATGACCATAAAAGCCCCATAAAGTAGTTCATATGACGCATTACTCATTATTCGCTGAACATCTTGACTTTCGTCAGTTCAAATCTGGTGAATTAGTTAATACACAGCAACTTCTTTGTTTGCATACAGCCAGGAAGTTCAGCCAATTCATTGACATAGAAGAGGAACAAGGAGGAATAGAAACCGCACAAATACTGCATTTGTTCTTGTGTGTTAGCTGGTGTGAATGAGAATTGAGAACTATGGGAGCCTTTCAGCGATTCACAATTACTGAATGACTGTGATACTCTAACCTGAGAGCATCCAGTAGTTTGTGAGCTGTGGTGTGAAGTCTGCTCCAGTGTGGCTCTCAGGCCGCTGGCCCCTGCATGCAGCGTCAGTAGGGCACAGACACTGCTGTCATTCCAGTTTACAAACACACCTGCGCTGCTGTTCAGCGGAAGCCCTGCTCGAATAGACAGAGACAGAAACATACTACTCTCCACTTCACAGCCATAACAAGAGTCTGCTAATGCTGCTGAACATACCTGCAGAACGAAGCCAAGGGAAAGTGTGAGACAGCTGGGTATGAAGATGTCTGCACCCACAATGTGTTAAATTACTGTTGATGTTTACACACAGTGACTCTTCCATAGCAACTAGACATAGTAAGGCACGAAGATCTTCTCCAGACTTCCTGTCATGCTGACGGGTCACTTCCAGCCCATATACAGCATCGTCCACTACTACAGTAAGCTCTCCTGCACCACAAACACACAACAACATGAAAGTAGCAAGCACTAACATGTACATATGAGACAAACACATTCAATTAGATGCTGTATTTGGGTGGTGAACTTACTTAGCCCATTGTGTAATGCAATGAATAAATAAACTTGAATTCTACTTGAATAATTTTGTTTTAAGTAATCGTAAGTTGACCTCCCTGAAAGATATAGAACTTCCTGAAAATGTTGAATTTGCATAATGAGTAAATGCATCAGCACATTGCTCTTGGATTTACCTTCAGTTAGACCCTTTGACTGGGTTAGTACTCCAACTAAACTAGCTGAATTAGGTAAAGCAGCGAGATCTTGTATTGAATTGAAAATATCTGCTGAAAGAGATAGCCGCCACTCTTGATCATCTGGTAGAGTTCCACTCAAGTGAGCATTAAACGTCTCCTCTTCCTTTTTAACTGTACACTGCAAGAAAAAAGCAGAACAAAAAGAGCTGGCCGCAAATCACATCACTGTTCCAGAGAAATAACAACTATAGAGCACAAATTTACAGTTCTGGAAATAAAAATCCCTTTCTTTTGTCTAAAGAGACATTGAGTTTTAACATGAAATTTTTTTATCTACCACGATCTTCATTTTCAAGTGATGAAAAATGCTTTTGTGGAGGAAACAAATTAGCGATTTCAACTTCTTTTTTTTTATTTTTTGAAATGATGTTTAATAGTCAGACTGAAGCACTGAAGCTAACACAAATACAATTTGAAAAACCTTTTTTGAATTTTTGTGAAAAATTATATTATGATATTTTGTGGAAAAAAAACTGTATGTGATGAAAAGTATTGATTTTTCTTTTAATTCAGCATCATCAAATGCAATATTATTTTTCAAGATGCAGGGCTGTGTAATCACTTAATAAATATCAGTCATTTTATGGTGTACAAATGAGCAATATCACACAAGTAGCAGTGCTTGGAGGTGAAATGTCTGCGAGTAAAAACATGAACGTAGCCTCATAATAGCAAATTAAGTTTTGCTTTTGATGAAATGAGACACTGACACTGTTTTTCATGTTTAATACTGCTGCTTGCTTTTAAGCTATATATTGAATAAAGTGCCATGTAAATACACGTGACGGGACTTCACGGGAGTGCTAATTTGCAGAGCTTGTGCAATACCCATGTTGCTATAAACAGATGCTTTTTTATAAAAAATGCTTGCTGTTTTTTCCATTTTTGTTATGTTTCTTTTTTTACTGAGAGGAAAGCGTGCAGCACATATTTACATATTTATTTAAACGTCGCTTTCATCAGAGTGGGCGGCGTCGGGATGTTCGATAACAGTATACCGCTGCTCACGTATTTCGAACTTCATTTTACCCCTAAATGAAGAACGAAAAAGAACTTCGTTTTGAGTACATTGGGGCCTTAATGGCGGAATAATGTAACTAAATTCACCTTCGCAAACACGCACGCCGTTTCTCAATACTAAATACTATTATAATTACTACTTATTATTTAACAAAGAAACAAAGTTATGTAAGTACAGTTGTTTTGTGTTCTAGTTTGAAATCAGCCTTGAAATATTCATTAGGAAATCCATTTTTGAAGTGGTTTTGAAACCTTGAATGTGAATGGTTTTTAGGGGATGTGTTATTTTTAGAATCAGCCTTTTTGGACTGAGATTGACATCCAGGGACACATCTCTGGGGATAATGGATTGCGGTGTGCCAAGAAAGAGAAGCAGAGTGGCTTCCAGTGGCATCCAGGAATTACGCTGTCAAACGTAAGATCCACAAGAAGTACAGAAAGAACAATTTAATGAGGAGTTTATTTTGACCTTCTTAACTTGAATGGACAGATGTCAGATATCTTCCCTACCTGGGGTACAAAAGTATAGGCTGCCTCCATGAGGTACTGGTTGAGACCAGTGTCTAGTTTTTGGAGTCTGAGAGTAAAAAGAACGGGGTCCAGTGGTGGGAAGCCTTTTCCCATCAGTGTCAAAGGATAAATGATATCAGAGCACAACTGCCATCCAACCATCTTAGACCCTGACAAAATAACCATTCAAATATGTAAAATACGCCAAATACACCTTTTATGTCTTTCCACAAAGAAAAATGTTAAGAAACATATAACTTTTGTTGTTTTAAATATACTCACATGCTTTAGGAGTGCAAGTGTTCTTCTCCTTGAGATTTCTTGTAGCTATGAGCTCCTCTTTACTTTCCCCACTCACACGATACATTCTGGAGCTGTTTCGAGTAGACGATCAAGCGATTTTAGAGTCAAGATAAAACAACTGTTTATAGGTCAGTGACAAATAAAAGTGTCTACAATTAAGAAAAGGAAAAATCTTTAAGAACATGTGGTTTAAAACATGTGCCAATGTATTCTTTGCATTAAAGTTGGTTTCATATGGTTTTGAAAAATGTCTTTTAAGAATAAAATTGAATGATGTTCACTACAATGTTCTGTGGTGCAACCATCATGTAAGTAATAACATGTTGTTACGCATTAAATACATGCAAGTGTACACATCATAATCATTATTTTCAAAATGTATTTTTTTTTTTACAAATTTCATTGTAGATTCAAGTTTTTAGAGAGTCGCACCAAATGACATTTTACAACCCAAACTAAACTTGTTTTGACATAAAAAGTAAAAACTTGACATAACAGTTGTTAGGGTCTTCTCTGTGATATAATTTCCTGTTTCTGAATTGTAGTCACACCACATGACTTTTGAGGACAAACATTCTTCAAATATTAATAAACATCAGTTTTGTTGCAATATGCATGTCAAATCGATTAATCGTGATTAATCGATTTGACAGTACCAATATACTGTATATATATAATCAAATGTATATAATCAAAATGAATTGATATATTCAAAAGATAATGTGAATATTTTTCATACTTGAAGGTCAGTACATCCATGACATCTTCTGGAGTATTGAGAACCACCTTCAGGCTCTGTCCATGATGCAGATATACAGCTCCATCCAAGCTGGTGAAGGTTTTGAGTTGAGTGACCCACTCTAATCCCAAACGACCAAACGCTCCATCCACTCCAGCTCTCACGGAGATAGCAACCAATGCACTGTGCAAAAGGAGAAACAAGAGTTGACTTGCCATCATAACTTCAACCTGACAGCACACTGCCATTTTCAAAACTTCATGAGACATACTTTGGTTTGACATAGCCAGCCAGAGAGAAATGTGACCAATTCTTATAGTTAGCAATGCCTTTAATCCTGAGGGAGAACAAAGTGGACATGTTGATGCTTAGCCTCATGGGTAATCCAGAGAGAGATGGCAAAACCAGCTCCTCCGCCAGAACAATAGGCCTATGACTTATTTTAATCTCTTGACCCTGGGAAAAGGAAATCAATTAAAATTATTACAGTATTTACAACCAAATATACTACAGACATAACAATATGAAAATTTTGGCTTATATGATAAGGTGACAATTATTAAATCAGCTTATTTCGCTCACTCGACAGCATTTAAGGCATAATGTTATTAACCACATTATCTCTTAAGAAAAAAAGCAAACATCAAGGTTTATTGATTTAAAAGCAGAAATGTGAAGCTTATCATTCTATGAAAGCACTTACATTTATTCTTTTGTTTAAACTTGCGTTGTATGTGAGTTGTAAATCATTTTTAGTCACTTTGGGGTTTTAGGTATTATATTATCATGACGTTGAAGTTATAAAATTGGTTGTACCTTTACACAGACAAGGTTATTAAGTCTTTTTTGTTGTTTTTTTTCAAACTTAAATCATGTTTACATGCATACTGTTCACATATTGTAGCTATAATATTAAAAAAAGTAAGGGTAACACTTCATTTTAGGGACCAATTCTCACTAGTCGCTTATTAGCATGCATATTGCTAGCATATTGGCTGATTATTAGTACTTATAGGCACATATTAATGCCTTATTTATATTTTAGATCCCTTAATCCAACCCCATACCTAAACTTACCAGCTACCTTCCTAACTATTAATAAGCAGCAAATTAGGAGTTTATTGAGGCAAAAGTCATAGTTAATAGTGAGAATTTGACCTTAAATGTGACCAAAGTAAGGATTAAACCCAGAATGCTCCTTTAAGTAACAACTTGAGAAATTGTTTCTTACCTTTAACAATTTGACAACAACACCAGCTGTACTAAGTGATAGCTTTCTCTGATATGCATAGAGATCATCACAGGTCATAAAGGTGAGGTCGTTGCCGAACATCTTCACATTCATCCAACATCGGAACCTACTATCTCTTTTCCTCTGCTCTGTGAACTTAAATAGAAATATTGGTCATGCCGGATGTGGAGCCAAATAACAGACACAAACCCACAATCTGCAAGACTCTCACCTTAGTCTTGATGGAACTCAAACCTGTGGACTGACAGCCATCACGGCCTCCTTGTTCCTCGTCTCTGTTTCGTCCTTTCTGTTCATGTCTCATAGAGTCTGTTCGACCCTTAGGTCTGGAGTGTTCAGCTGATGCTAGAGGATGCTCCTCAAAGATTTTCTTCAGAACAGGCTCTAGGTTTTCCATTCTTAGGCTAATCTAAATAATCGATGAAAATAATTACTATCACTGAACAAAAATATATGCTACTTAAAAACTAAAATAGCTAAATATTTATGTTTTTTTTTAATAACATTAACCAATTTCTCACATGGCCTAGACAAGGGGTTATGGGTACTCATTTAACTTCTGTAATGATATATATTTTTGACTTAAAAAAAAATAAAAACAGAAAAAGACCAGATTTTATCTTTTGGTTATTGGCATTATATGGGAAAGGCTACATTACTGACTCGAAAACAAAAAAAACTATATGTGACCCTGGACCACAAAACCAGTCTTGTAGCAATAGCCAATAAAACATTGTATGGGTTAAAATGATAGATTTTTCTTTTATGCCAAAAATCATTAGGACATTAAGTAAAGATCATGTTCCATGAAGATATTTTTCAAATTTCCTACTGTAAATATATCAAAACTTAATTTTTGATTAGTAATATGCATTGCTAAGAACTTCATTAGGACAACATTAAAGGCGGTTTTCTCAATATTTGGATTTTTTTTGCACCCTCGGATTCCCCAAAAAATTCAGATTCGAAAAATTGACTTTTATGACTGGTTTTGTGGTCCAGGGTCACATATTACAATAGCTATTTGTGTTTTGGCTACCATTAACTATATCCCTGCACAGCCTAAATTTAGGGGTCTTCAAACATTTGGTTCCAGTTTTTGATGCCCATGATTAACATGATTATCCCCTTACAAGGGACCGATTTTTTAATTAAAGGCAGCTATATTTTAATATAATATTTTCCATGTTTAAAACCCCATTTATATGGTGACAAATATAATTGTTTTAAATATGCATTCAAATAAGCAAATATGTATTTTAAAATAATATTTGGATCTTTTAATATATTTGGTCTTGTAAATTATTATTAGCTATTTTATTTTTTCTCTATTTTTCTACAGACCCCTCATGGAAATATGCGTGTTTCTGGACTACAGTTTGAAAACCCTCACCTAGTTGTACTCGAACAAAAAAATTATTTCAGATGTAAAGCAAGTAATTACATTATGATGAAAGATTATGAAGACAACCTTATTTTTATTGGAATAGAGTTCACTGATGAACAATAAGACTAGGAATAAACCTAGTCAGTAAACAGTACAGTAAACAGTAAATAGTTTCAATTTAGATTAGTTTTGTGGAAAATACAAACAGATGTTGAACAAATTGGATTTTCACCTCCAGAAGATTGAATGCTCTGCCTAGGACGTGAATTGTCAGATTTGATATTTACCTATTTACCATTATATAATCAGAGGGGTATAGAAAAGTTTATGAAAGTGTCACTCCATAATACAGTAGCAAAATATATAAATATGTATAGTATTTTTATGTTACATTAATCAGTGTCTAGCACACCTTCCTAAGGAAAGGATATGGACCAGAAGACATTGCAATTACTAAATGATATTTAGACAGACTTAAAGAAGTTCCAGATCTATACTTGTGCTCTTATTTGAGTTATTTTGCCTTTAATGTAAATAAATATGTGCAAACAATATACTTGCTCTTGTGAATTTATTTGGATGTTAATTACATTGTGCAAGCCGTCTCTTTAATGCTGCGTGGTTTATATACATGTTGCTGCTGATTGGGCTGACATGTTTGACACACCCACCAAACAAGAGAAAACGCATCTCAAACCCCGTTGCACACCGTTTCCAGAAAACATGTCGTACAAACCGGAAACCGTAGAAAACCGGTGCACACCGGTTTGAGCTTGAACTTACCCCAGGACATGGAGTACATGGGGAGCAAAATACAAAACACGGAACAGAGTCTGACAAAGGCCATATTTTAATTAACATTTTTGCACTGACTTTCAAACCTCAACCCAATTTTGAAGGCTTGGTACTAAACAGGTTTTTGTTTTTTATTTCAGATATATTATATATGTAAAAAAAGTAATTGTACCAGAATTTACCCATTGAATATTTATCTATCCATATCAAAAGCATTTGATTTTCACACTTTCTCTGGCCGTGTTGAAATAATGTAGCAAATTTGAGTTAGTCATAATAAATAATATTCAATAACTCAATACCTTGACTAGACTTCTCAATGCTTAAAGTCGTCTTCACAATTGTGAAAATCTCCTGGTTTGGACAATGCATGAGCTGCTGATATGCTGCGATTCTGACCTCCACATTCTCCTGCTGGCTTTGAAATGCCCGAGCAAGAGTTGTCCTCTGATAACATAAGAAAGAACATAATGCAAGAACATAAGTCATTCCATAATAGACATAACATCAATGCAAATGTATCAGCACACACATGCATGTCCAGTGTTAATCGTATCGTAAATTGTTCGGTGATACTGACGTCATGATGGCATGGGATTCTCCTGAATGCTCGTACAGCTGCCAGCCGAAGCTCCAGCGGCACAGACTGATTCTGCACACAGCGGCTCAGTGTGGGGATGAGATCTGATGTAGCCGCTCCTGCATTCTCCACTGCTTTCAACACATGCAGCAGCTGCACAAGAGGTACAGAACAGTTTAAAGCCATATTTCAGGTTCAGTATGAGTCAAGCTCAAGTATTTGTGCCATTATGTTGACTATTAAAAAAAAATAAAGTTATTGTCTCCCAAAAGAAAGAATCGACTCTGAACAGCCTAAACGAGTTGTCAACTAGGTAAGACATAATGGTAAGGCATAATGACCGCCTTTGTTCTACGTTGGCCGGCCGTGAACAACTTGACCCCGCTCTCAAACACTGTAGCTTGTTTGTGTGGCTAACATCATGTTGCCACACACGCTCTGTCCTACACTGTGAAAGTAAATTCGTTTTATTTTCACTTCCAAAAGATGAGGCTGCAAAGCATCAGTGGTTAAAATTAATTTTTCCACTGTAGCACAGCAGTACAATGCCAATCTTTTTTTGTGTTCCCATCATTTTACTGACGACGGCTTCTCTAATCTCGGGGAGTTCAAAGTGGGGTATACAAAGCGCTTGCTCTTGAAAGATGGCTCAGTACCCAGTTTATTTGGACCTGCTGACTCAACTGAATCACAACCTGTAAGTATAATAAATAATAGATGTTAAAGGGCTCATATGATGTTGCTAAAAAGAACATTATTTTGTGCATTTGGTGTAATGAAATGTGTTTATGCGGTTTAAGGTTCAAAAAACACATTATTTTCCATATACTGTACATTGTTGTTTCTCCTCTATGCCCCGCCGTTCGAGGTGCTCTCTGATTGGCCAGCTATCCAGTGCTTTGTGATTGGCCGAATACCTCAAGCGTGTGACGGAAATGTTACGCCCCTTGCCATACTGTGATGCCTTGTCCCGGCCGGAGCGACGAGACAAAAACATTAAAACCTATTATAAACGAGGCATTTGTTGCATCCAGTGGGGACATAATTACAGATTATAATGACCTATACTGTCTTTTTACTCGCTGCATTGCATCGCGCCACGTAAACATAAAACCATGTCTGCATTTGTGATCGGAGAAATTACAAACTACAAACGCTACTCTACACTGCTCAAAACTTGCGTTTGAATCATCAGTGGCAAATTCTTTAAATATAAAAAAACATACTTACAGTCTGTGAGTCAGAGCAGCCAGCATTGTAGTCTACTCTACCAGGATCAGGAAACAGTCCTCCATAAAATGCGCTGCACACATCTGAATATTTGGGTTGAACTGTTCTGGAACAGTGTTGTAAATATAACTTAACCACTGATTTCTAGTCGTGTCCTCTTTTGGAAGGCCAAACAAAGTAATTTCGCTTTCACAACGAAACACAGCGCCACACACGGCAGGCTAGAGTGAGCGGAGGACGGGGGCTAGAGTGAGCGGCGGCCGTCTTTGCTACTTTACAGATCTTCTTTATGCACCAAGAGCTTGTAACACTCCAAAGAGAAAGGAAAAATTTAAATCGCATCATATGACCCCTTTAATATTTTCTATCAAGCGTTCAAAATATGGAACTGTATCAATGGGCATATCGTTTCCGACACGCTCTGTACGCAGTTGACCGATCACAACAGACTGGGCCATCTGACCAATCAGAGCAGAGTAGGCTCACGGAAAGGCGGGGTTTAGAGAGAGTGAATCTTAGAACTGCTTTGAACTAATCGTTTAAGAATCACAGGAAAATAAGGTGATATTAAATGTATATTTTGAGAAAATGAAAGCATTTTTTGACCTTGCAGCATGTAAACCTCTTGCAGGAGACTCCCAAAACAATATTAGGAACCTTAAAAATGGGGCAGGGATTTCCAAACCTTTTGTCAGTCAAACCGCTTTGACCTAAAATATTTGATACTTGAAGTCCCCCCGAAACTTAGAGTTATTATTTCAATCATTTTACAACACATTTGCGTGTCGGTTAATGGTCATACATTTTATTATCTTTTTTTTTTTAAATCCCATTCAAATCTATAAACAAGTTAGATTAACAAGTAATCTAAATGTAATTCAAACGTAGTCAGAATACATTGCCTAAAATGAGTTGTCTTGATTTCATTACTGACTACAATTTTCAACATGTAATTTGTAATCAGTAACATACTACAATTTTGTAAGTAGCACTGACTGTACCTCTGTGATCTGCAAATGATCATCCACTTCACATCCTGCATCAAGACTCTGATTCAGAACATGGACGAACTGTTGGACTTCAGAGATTTCGTTACATGGACCCTGTTCCTGTTGACAAAGTCCGTGGACCAGTGAAGACACAACCAGCAGTGCTTTTGGACGGATAAGAGGTATCTGCAGCAAAGCCTGAAGAAGAAAATACCAGCAAATCCACATATCACCTTGGTCACACTCTGTTTAAGAGACAACTTTCAATTTTGTATTATAATTCATTTAAATTAAGTTACTGAACAACTCAAAAACATACACTAAGGTGGCTAATCATGGATGAAGTAGGGTGGGAAGCAAAACTGATAGTATTGAGGAGAGGTTGGATTTGTTCCTGGTCCACTTCTTTGTTGAGTATGAGGTCTGTAGTGACAAGGATGCAATCCTCAGTTCCACAGGCTGACAGAGTATCTAGAAGGGGCTGCCTGTCATGACACCAAAATCAACATTACCATCGGAAAAAAACACAGAAATTAAAAACAATTGTTGTAATTGCTGTATAATTTAATTGAATACAAATTTAAATCCTTTGATTCTCTCAAAAAAGTATTGCGTTCCACTGCAAAACATTGCATTCTCTCAAAAACATCTGCGTTCCTCGAGAAACTTTGCATTCCCTTGCGAAACATTTACATTCCCTTGAGAAATTTCGTGTTCTCAAAACATGTTTAGTCCCCCATGAAACTTTGAGTTCACTCACAAAGCACTAAATATGTTTTTTCCTTCCCCCTCATATTATTTCCATCACAAAAGTTTCTTGGGTGACCGCAAAACAATTGTAAGTGAGCACAAATGCATTGACATTTTTTTCCCCTTCCATCTTATTAAAAAAAAAATAGAAATTATATTTGCATTTATAAAAAATATTTTTTTCCCATCTGAATTTCTATTGTATTTCATTCTTAAAAAAAAAAAAGAAAACGGGTCATATAATACTGTATTGTATAAATTACAATACAGTAGTGCATAAATTAATTATAATGAGATTTTCAGCATTACAGTAATGATAAATATGGGTGAGGGATTAAAGTTAGTGTTACAATGCAAAAACTTCATGGTCCCAAATAGAGGATTAAATGAGGCGATTTTTTTTCTTAGACAATACTGTCACACTTCTACTGTCGGAACGAGGAGCGGGGAAACGCAGGAGTAACTCGATTTCACAAACTTTAATGAACGGTAATACACACGGAGATGACGTTTAACACAGGACCGAACAGTAAGCGACACCCCTTCTCCTCATTTTTGTTTCCTTTTTTGAAAGTTTTGTTTTCCATTTTTCCCCCTCCTGCGAAAATGGAAACCGCCGCAAGATTCGCTGCCATAGCCCGCAGAGATCTTCCTTTTATAGAATTCGCCCGGAAATTCTGCGGGCTCGCCGTGATGACAGCGTTGGATGATGCCACGTTTAATTCGTTGTTCTGGATCGGGGCCAATTACCGTCGCCCCATGGACCTTCCAGACACCACAGGACTGAGCTGGAGGGAAGGTATCCTCCGGTGTCTGGAGAGTGACCGGCCCTGATTCAGAACCAGCTCAGCGTCAAATCCGCCGGCTGCTGCAATCTCAAGCCCACCGGCCGCTCAGAAGCCGAGGCCGCCAGCCGCTGCACTCTCAAGCCCGCTGGCCGCTCCACTGTCAAGCCCGCCGGCCAATTCACTCCCAAGCCCTCAGCTGACAGCAGCACTCTCCTTCACCTCTGCTCATAAAAGGAGAATGCAGAGGAAAAGACTGTTGGCTCCAGCCCCTGAGTCTGCTCCAGTGTCGGCTCCAGCCTCTGAATCCGCTCCAAAAAGGGCTCCAGTTCCCACGTCCAGCCCAAGGAGGGCTCCAGTTACCACGTCAAGCCCAGAGAGGGCTCCTGTTCCCACGTCTGGCCCAGGGAGGGCCACAGTTCCCGAATCAAGCCTAGGGAGGGCCACTGTTCCCACATCTGGCCAACGGAAGGTCTCAGAATCCGAAAATTTCCCCAAGGAATTTTTTTTGGGGGGGGGGCTATAGGGCTCCGGCTGTAGAGGCCGGGCCGAGTGCCGAGGCCAAGGCCACGGAGGCCGCTCAACCATGGCCCCCTGGACTGCCGGCTCCGCCATGGCTCTCTGTACTGTCTGCTCCGCCATGGCCCCCTGAACTGCCTGCTCCACCATGGCCTCCTGAACTGTCTGCTCTGCCATGGCTCCCTAGTCTGCCTCCTCCGCCATGGCTCCGTGAGCTGCCTGATCCGCCATGGTACCCAGATCCGGTACAGCCTTGTAGGCTTCCTGTCCCACTTGAGCCTGCCTTGAGGGGCCTCCAAGGCGCCCACTCCCCCTCATCCCCTTTGTTGTTGGTATGTGCGCGAGGACGTGCCTTCAGGGAGGGGGGCGAAATGTCACACCCAAGGCCTGTCTTTGTGTGTTTTTCTCCCCATATGCTCCCTGTGACCTATAGTTCCTCCCTCGTGTTGATTTGTGTTCTTTGATTTCAGGTGTTCCCTCATTAGTTTCCATGGTTGTTGATTAATTACTCCACCTGTTTCAGTTCTCGCTGATTACGTTCCCTGTGTTTATAAGTCCAGTGTTTCCTGTGTCTAGCGTTCTGTGTTAAACGCCATCGCCGTGTGTGTTACCTTGTTCATTAAAGTTTGTGAAGTTGAGTTACTCCTGCGTCTCCTCGTTCCAACAGTAGAAGTGTGACAAATTTTTTTTTTTGGGAATATGTACCATGGTTTTATTACAGCATGCTATGACGTATATAAAGTATATATCATCAGTAAACATCTTCCAGCATTACGCTATTTTTAATGTATGTAATAAGTTTTGAAGGACCAACCAGTCATCTCGACATTTGAAGGAGGCCTCATGCCACAAGTCTCTCAACTGATGGGACGACAAGGTTCTCAACTGGAGCACCAGATTCAGGAGAAGCTCAGATTGCTAAGAGTGATGAAGAAAAGTGAGGAAAACTTACCATCTTGAATGAAAGAATCACTTTAATACTGTAAGCTGGCGCCTGACCTGTTGCTGATTTGCGAGATGAGCGCACAACCTCCTCACTGTGTTGGAAACCTCTTGAACTGATGGTCCACCATGTCTGCCTGAGATTTGGCCTTCAGCCTCAAACACAATACTGGTCAAGTAACCGGCGTTCTGCCCTGAAATGACAGAGAAGATGATTACACTTTACATATATGTTTTATTATAGTTTTACATTTTAAAAGTTTTACATTTAGAGACCAGTCTTTTCTGATTTGTGTCTGTATGCATTCACCAGATAACTATTCAGATATTGCACACCAACTTAATCATCATTTCATAATTCTTAAACAACAACAAAAAAAAATTATCACATTAAGGACATAATTTTTAGATTCCCAAATAGAGATCCATTGCACGTTATTATAGATTCAGATTGATGATTTGTGAAATTAATCATTTAGATCTCCGTTTGAACGAGTTTGAAAGATTCACATGAACCGAATGATCAAAAGAGTTGTCTAAAATGATTCATTCATGAATTGGATGTTACTATCACAAAACCGCATGTAGCTTATATTTCTTGCAGACTTTTTTCACAGTTTGAAAACTCTATTTAATTTGATCCACAAAAGGGTCAAGAGAAGTGTATCTGAGTAAAAAGATTAATTCTTTTGTTAAAATGTAGTCAACATAAATATTCATACTCAATTAAAGTAGTAAATATAGCATTAAAAGAGTAACATGATCATACTGGATCGACAACATCAAAAGCTTAGTCTTACCCAAATCCGATGGAATCACTTCAAGGGTTCTCAGGAGAGTCAGGCTTGAAATGGTTTTAGTTTCTGTTACTTCTAAGAGGCCTGGCAGTGGAACCAGTGACACTGTTTCTGTACAGTTGACCTTCTTCAGCATTGTTCCATCATAGAGCTGGATGCATGTGAGGCCGGCACTCACCGTCTAATCAAAATAAAAACAACTCAAACTTAAGGCAATTCACATTGGGTCAGTTGTGTGAATGTTGGGTGAAGAATAGAAAAAGTGGGGCCCACCATGCCATCCTTCAGTGGGACAGAGTGCCTCCAAAACTGATCGATTCTGTCACTGAGGCACTGCTGGAGGCTTCGGCTCTTCACCAGCGACAGTCCCCTCTGTTCATAAGAACTCATACATGTCCCATACACATCATTCTGTAGAAATCATAATCTAGTGTCATTCATAGTATACTAATGCTCATACTTAGTAGAGTAGAGAGTTTGTTTTTAATGTTTTTGAAAAAATGTCTCTTATGCTCACCAAGGCTACATTATTTGATCAGAAATACAGTAGTAATACTGTAAATTATTAGTCCAATTTAAAATAATTATTTTATTCCTGTGATGGCAAAGCAGAATTTTAAGCAGCCAGTACTCCAGATCTTTCAGAAATCAATTTAATATGCAGATTTTGGGGCTCAAGAAACATTTCTTATTATTATTAGTGTTGAAAACTGTTGTGCTGCTTAATATTTTTGTGGAAACATTTTTTTTTAGGATTCTTTGATTAAAGTTGATTTGAAATAGAATTCTTTCGTAACAATATAAATGTCACTTTTGATCAACTGAATGCATCCTTGCTGCATTAATTTTTTATTTTTTTTTCTTATTGACCCTAAATTTTTGAACGGTAGCATATATTGCATTGTTTTGTTAAAATAACCATGTCAACTTTTTACAAATTTACAAACTCAGTGCCTCAAATACACTTCAAAATTGAGCATATGATTTTGTATAAAAGTGGGCCTGTACAAACAAGCGTGCAGAGTGAGTTACAGTTCCTCTCACCTCTCTGATTGTCTCCCTGGCTCGTCCCGAGTGCGAGGTCTGGAACATGCTCAGAATGGACCTCTTGATGTTGAGAGTCCACACCTGCTCAGCCTCCTGTGGGCAGAGCTTTGTGACCTTTCCCCCCTCGAGCCAGAACCGCAGGGGGTTCTTCTCCAATGACTCTCTGAGAAATCAAAACACCAGATGGACCTTCAACCTCTTAACACTCATGACAGACTAACTCTCTACAGCAGCAATAGAGTGATTATAGTGATGTGGCATCAACTGAAGTATTATGTTATTTCAAATGTTTGTCACTACATGATTAATTCTGACACTTTGAACCAGATATAAAATTACATGACTATGGAATTAGTTTGTATTAATTGGATGCAAACACAGAAAATGTTAGAAGAGTATGAGTGAGTGTAGCACATCAAAAGAAACTTAAATTACCTTATATTCTTCAAGCGTAGCACCGAATTGTCTCTTTTCGAAGAGCTATGCTTTATTTGTATGTTCCTTAGCTACATACAAATAAATATAGCAAATATGGAATAAATGAAACATGATTGCAAAGATAAAAAAATGAATCTAGGTATAGGCATATATGAATATTGGCTATGATCTGAAATGGAATCAAATGCCTCAATTTTTATCTCAATGGTGAAATGATATTATGCTTGTTATGAAAAATGTTGCATTGTAAAGGAAGAAAAGCTATATCAATATGGATGACAAAATGATAACATATATAGAATGACTGATAGAACAGAACAGAACATACCTTTAAAATAATTTCTGGACATCCTGGTCGGACATCAATGTCAACAACACAGTCCAAAGCTAACTGACTGCCTCCTGATGAAGGACCTTTCCAGGCACTGTTTATGGTTGTACTGTATCTGTATGTGTGCCTTTGCCCTTTCTGCACAGCTGTAAACATAAGTCAGATATATATTTATATGTGTTGAGCCCAGAAGTGAGCTAAATTGGAGAAAACCTCTATTTGGGCATGTCCTTAATTGTAAAAATGATATGTAAATAAAGTTATTTATTTGTTTATTCATTCATACATGTATTTCTTTTCTCTCTCATTTATGCATTTTTGCTATATATTTTTTAAATTATATATATTGTTGCTAATGCTTTCATGTTGACTTTAAACTTGTAAATACGCATTGTTTTGGAATAGATTGGGATTCAAAAACAACCTAAGATTTATGACTCTTTACAACCACAGATAGTCCTTCACTCCACTGTATAGTGATATATATTGATTTTCCTTGGGGTTGTACAATCTGAAGACAGCACTATTAAATTACACAATAAATGATGTATCATTGATAAATACTGAGTGATCTGGAGACTTGGATTGAGGTCAAAAAGTCTTGTGTTTGAAACCCAGAGGAACAGCTTTTAAATAAACTAAGTTACGGTGAATGTTTAACTGCTTGTATTAAGTGTCTTTATTGACTTTATTAACTTGAGCTGTAACGGATGGTGCTCTTAATATACAGTGACACTCATTGACTGTTTTTAACAGTTTATGGTTAACTTCAACAGACATCAGTGAAGAAAGATGCATTTTTCCCCCACATAATGGTGTAGTACAAATTGGCTTAAGAACATTTTTTTTATTTAAATGTATTTTTTTTCATATTTTAATCAAAAATTGTTTTCAAACAGGGAAAGTTCCAGTGTTGTTCCCTATGTCCAGTTCATCCCTAAACATGAATTAATAATTAAGCTGTTAAAATTAATAGTTCTTCTCTACTCTTCAAAAGTTTTGAGGCTGCTAAGATTTTGTAATGTTTTTGAAAGAAGTCTCTTATGATCACCACAGATACATTTATTTGATCACAAGTACAGTAATATTGTGAAATATTATTCTAAATTTAAAATTGTTTTCTGTCTGAATCTATTGTAAAAATCAAATTTATTTCTGTGATCAAAGCTGAATTTTCAGCATCATTACTCCAGTCTTCAGTGTCACATGATCTTTCAGAAATCAATTTAATATGCAGATTTTGGGGCTCAAGAAACATTTCTTATTATTATTAGTGTTGAAAACTGTTGTGCTGCTTAATATTTTTGTGGAAACATTTTTTTTTAGGATTCTTTGATTAAAGTTGATTTGAAATAGAATTCTTTCGTAACAATATAAATGTCACTTTTGATCAACTGAATGCATCCTTGCTGCATTAATTTTTTATTTTTTTTTCTTATTGACCCTAAATTTTTGAACGGTAGCATATATTGCATTGTTTTGTTAAAATAACCATGTCAACTTTTTACAAATTTACAAACTCAGTGCCTCAAATACACTTCAAAATTGAGCATATGATTTTGTATAAAAGTGGGCCTGTACAAACAAGCGTGCAGAGTGAGTTACAGTTCCTCTCACCTCTCTGATTGTCTCCCTGGCTCGTCCCGAGTGCGAGGTCTGGAACATGCTCAGAATGGACCTCTTGATGTTGAGAGTCCACACCTGCTCAGCCTCCTGTGGGCAGAGCTTTGTGACCTTTCCCCCCTCGAGCCAGAACCGCAGGGGGTTCTTCTCCAATGACTCTCTGAGAAATCAAAACACCAGATGGACCTTCAACCTCTTAACACTCATGACAGACTAACTCTCTACAGCAGCAATAGAGTGATTATAGTGATGTGGCATCAACTGAAGTATTGTTATTTCAAATGTTTGTCACTACATGATTAATTCTGACACTGTGAACCAGATATAAAATTGCATGACTATGGAATTAGTTTCTATTAATTGGATGCAAACACAGAAAATGTTAGAAGAGTATGAGTGAGTGTAGCACATCAAAAGAAACTTAAATTACCTTATATTCTTCAAGCGTAGCACCGAATTGTCTCTTTTCGAAGAGCTATGCTTTATTTGTATGTTCCTTAGCTACATACAAATAAATATAGCAAATATGGAATAAATGAAACATGATTGCAAAGATAAAAAAATGAATCTAGGTATAGGCATATATGAATATTGGCTATGATCTGAAATGGAATCAAATGCCTCAATTTTTATCTCAATGGTGAAATGATATTATGCTTGTTATGAAAAATGTTGCATTGTAAAGGAAGAAAAGCTATATCAATATGGATGACAAAATGATAACATATATAGAATGACTGATAGAACAGAACAGAACATACCTTTAATATAATTTCTGGACATCCTGGTCGGACATCAATGTCAACAACACAGTCCAAAGCTAACTGACTGCCTCCTGATGAAGGACCTTTCCAGGCACTGTTTATGGTTGTACTGTATCTGTATGTGTGCCTTTGCCCTTTCTGCACAGCTGTAAACATAAGTCAGATATATATTTATATGTGTTGAGCCCAGAAGTGAGCTAAATTGGAGAAAACCTCTATTTGGGCATGTCCTTAATTGTAAAAATGATATGTAAATAAAGTTATTTATTTGTTTATTCATTCATACATGTATTTCTTTTCTCTCTCGTTTATGCATTTTTGCTATATATTTTTTAAATTATATATATATATATATATATATTACAGTCTTATAAAAAGAATCATAATTAATTAAACATACGGTAAGTCAGAAGCATTTCAGAAGCATTTATGTAGCCATTTAGATAATTGTGTGTGTGTGTGTGTGTGTGTGTATATGTGTGTGGAATATGGATGGATGAATAGCAAAAAATATATTTATTAACATGTATATACTCTTACCAGGGCAAGTAGACTTGCAACGTTGATCTTGGTGCAGTTTGTGGCAATCAGCTTGTAAAAGAAAACATTAACAAGTTAAAAACAGCCATTCACTATAGAAGTTCTAACACTTATGCAAAACTTTGTGGCGAAACAAACATTTACTTACTTCGAATTCTATATTTTCTCATAATAATCATGGGGGGATATTAAAGAATATGATATTAAATACTTACCACTGAAAAAGATGAGCAACATTATTAGACAGAGATCTTGGAGCACTAGACAGACCGGAGACATAGCCATAAGTGATTGGATTCAAAGTAATGCCCTGCACTTCATAGGAGAGACCATTACCAAGCATAAGCACATAAGCGAATGGATAGATGTTGAGTTAAGCCTTTGTAAAAACCCACTGGACACTCAGACACCAATCAGAGGACAGATGCCCACCAGGGGACCATCCAGCTAACAAAATCTTGCAGCATACCGATGGACATCTTGAACTGAGCCTCTGCCTTCTCATAACATGCTCATGAATTTGCAAGAAATTTCTAGGGGCTTTGTTAATGTCATTTGTTTCATAACATTAATTGCATCACAATCCTCCAAAAATTTGCGTCATTGACTTCCATTGTAAGTTTATACTTTTTTAGCAAGTAAAAGGCCTTTTGTAAAAATGTTCACCTTCAGGTTGTGATTCATGGGTATTTTTGCTGTGAAATCTTTGATTTGAAGAATAACTTCAATATAATGCATTGCATTATATGTTTTCCCCCACAATACAAATAATAAGAAAGAAAAAAAAAATTATAAGAAAAAAAAATAAGCATTTTTGGTATTTTTTAATCGTTTATTTCATTTGTTTTGCTTGTATTTACTGTAGATAGATAGCAGAGGCCGCTGCTGATGAGAACAAAACAACGAGTTGAAAGGAGAAGAACCGAGCGGGCCCTCAGGAAACGAGGCTCCCCATCATAACTCTTGCTTTGCCGTTAAACGCAGTCGCGATAAAATGTCGTTCGCCTACCTTCTTCGTAGTAGGTTTACTAAACTCGCCGGGGGCGTGGCGTGGGCTTTGCCGGTTCTAGCAGCAGACACAATGAAACGAGGGGCAATGTAGCACACCACGTTGGGGCTCGAAACGCAGATACGCCGGTAGCGTATTATTTTTTACTTCTTTTTTGGTATTTTTTAATCGTTTATTTCATTTGTTTTGCTTGTATTTACTGTAGCTAGATAGCATTGGTAACCTTCCTGGAGCGTCCTGGAGCGCATCCTAATTAATATTCATGAGCTCGTCGTGATTCGTTTATTCGCCTTCTGAGCACCACCTACTTTCTCACGTCTGCCCATCAGCCAATCCGTCGAGACGACTGGGAGAACGGCGCGTTACGTAATTAATATTCATGAGCTAAGCCTTCTTCGTAGTAGGTTTACTAAACTCGCCGGGGGCGTGGCGTGGGCTTTGCCGGTTCTAGCAGCACACAATGAAACGAGGGGCAATGTAGCACACCACGTTGGGGCTCGAAACGCAGATACGCCGGTAGCGTATTATTTTTTACTTCTTTTTTGGTATTTTTTAATCGTTTATTTCATTTGTTTTGCTTGTATTTACTGTAGATAGATAGCAGAGGCCGCTGCTGATGAGAACAAAACAACGAGTTGAAAGGAGAAGAACCGAGCGGGCCCTCAGGAAACGAGGCTCCCCATCATAACTCTTGCTTTGCCGTTAAACGCAGTCGCGATAAAATGTCGTTCGCCTACTCGGATTATCTGGCCGCCGAGTGTCTGGTGTCGATATCCAGCGGTCCCGTCCTCCATCGACCCACCCCGGTGTCTGGTGCGGCTCAGGCCCCTCCTCAGGGCCTTCCTGCCGCGGAGCGGGACGGGTCGCGCGAGGACAGGGAGGTGCGGGAGACGCTCCGGTTAGAGGGGGCCAACATGATGACGGTGGCGGAGATCCTCACCGACCTGCACGGCAAGTTTCGTCCCATGTCGGCCTACTCCGAAAGCAGCAACTCGTCGTGCGGAGAGAGCGGCTACACCACGTTGTCAGACTCCACCACCCCAACGCCGACCATGACCCCCTCTGCCACCCCTGTCCCGGGACAGTACAATAACACCCCTCAGCAGATTTGGGGAGGAGGGGGCGCACCCCGGTCCCCCACCAAGCGTCACCCCTGTACTTTCGACGGGTGTGACAGGGTGTACGGCAAATCATCCCACCTGAAGGCGCACATCAGGACCCACACAGGTGAGCTGAAGCGCGTGGTCGCCGATGCTGCAGATATCATTTGTATTCATACCCGAATATAAGTATATACATACAAGTACTCTATATATACGAATTTCTAAATACGGTCCATCTTGTATGAAATTATAGTTTTATAAACTGCATGTCGCATTAATTGGTTGTAAAAATTCTCTGTTGAATAAGCATATTATGGAGGGTAACTTTAAATTATCGACCGTGTGTTTGTTGACTGTTGTCAGGGGCTCCTGTCAGTTCCAACCGACGGCTCTGAATAGAGATATTAAAAGTGAATTGGTGGATAATTATGTAATTCACTACTCGTTAGTTGAACAAAAGAGTGGGAAAACTCCGAACAAAGAAAGTTTATGAACAAAGGAGGGAGCGCGTGAGGGAGGACCGAGTATAGTATAGTGACGAGCCTCATATTTGCATATGAACAGAGCTCGAGTGCGCGCGCAGGATTCCATTTAAATGCGCTTTCTGTTATCTGGCTAAAGCTAAAAGAGCTATTTAAGCAACGCACCTGGCCTCTCTTCTTGAGCCGTTCACAAACGGTCTATTACTATTTGGGTTTGTTCATGAAGTGCAGTGTGGAGAAAAGGTGACCGCTTTTAACTGACACTAGTTCAGACGATTCCCTCACGAAAATGAACTATGGTTTTAATATATTAAAAGGTAGTAACCATGTTTTTTTTTTGGCATTTTGACCACTATTTGTATAACCACAGTTGACTACAAATACCATTAAACTATATAGTGTAGCAAAACCGTGGTCAATTTGTGGTTACCTAACCATGTTTCTTTATTTGTGGTAAAACCATGGTTCATTTTCGTTAGAGTTGTAGTACAGTTACTAGTAGTACACCACGCTAAGAAATCTTTAGTATAGTGTACTAATGATATACTAGTACAGTGGCAACTGAACTGATAAACATTAGTGCAGTAGTTCTACACTCACAGAATAAGTCATCCAGTACAGCACAAATGAAAGGCTAGTACACTAGTGAAACACTAGAGGTGCATTCCATTCAACCATAAGGGCCCTGCGGTGTTGACTTCACAGGGTGTTCTGCCATCTTAAGTGAGATTCCAATCTGAAGAGTACTGGTACTGTCTGCGTCCCACAGTATTACAAGTAGAGTATTATCTCTACAAGTTATGCATATTAATACAAGATATGTCTCCCTTCAAAGACAAAAAAGCGTGGATGTCATTGGCTTTCAGTCTTTTCAAGTACATTTTATGTTTTAAATGTTTGTAAGGCCAAATTATATTGCTTTTGAATTTTCTAAAGTACAGAACGATGGCTATTAATGAAACGTACAATAAATTATTAAGTCAAATACAGACCTATTGCATGGTAATTATAGCTATAAAACCTATGCCCAACCCTAACCGTACCCCTTAAATAAAATCAACAATTACTGTACAATTTCATGATCAAAATACTTTAAAACCGGGGGAAACGATTTATTGAATATGATAGGTATGCCTTATAATAACTATAATTTTTTTTGAGTGTGGGTGGCAATTGCGAAGCTTGAAATAAAAGGTCAAGTAGAAGAGCGGTACAACCATCGTCTGTAAAAAAAACATGGACATAGTGTCCGTGACGTCACCCGTAGGTTTCTGAAGAGCATTTTTGAAGCCTAAAGTGGGCGGAGCCGGCCGTCGCCATCTTGGCAGCGCGTCACCGTGTGTCACTCTCGGATAACTGAAAATGGGCAAAGAGGCGGGATGTGGGTGGAGCTGGTTGCTGAAACCACGCCTGCCTAGCTTGACGGTGATGACGGCAGCGGCAGTCCACCTGTCACTCAAGTGGCCACGCCCTTATTTATGCAAAACTTTAAGGCTTAATATAATCTAAATGGATAAGTTATAAAAAAAGAATTCACCCCCCTCACAGTAGGGCTGGACGATATGGCCAAAATTTATATCACGATATATTTCTTAATTTCGATCGATACGATATAATTCCGATATCGATATGAACACTATTAAAAAAGCCTCATAAAAACGGCCAAGACTGGCCACAACAGATGTCTGTACCTAGAAACTTATGAAAAATGTATTTGCCAACTCTATGAAACCTACTCCTATAAAATTATATAATATTTAAAAAATGGCACAAATAAATAAATGTTCACCTTTTATTGGTATTCAGCCTTCATACAAACAAGAAATGTGAAATCACCGTCAAATAAATCTCAGACTCTCCTTATTAATATTAATATTTTTTACTTCAAACTATAGGCTAACATACCAGTCAAAAGTTTTTGAACAGTAAGATTTTTAATGTTTTTTTTAAAGAATTCTCTTCTGCTCACCAAGCCTGCATTTATTTGATCCAAAATACAGCAAAAACGGTAACATTTTTAAATATTTTTATTATTTAAAATAACTGTTTTCTTTTTGAAAATATAATTTATTCCTGTGATTTCAAAGCAGAGCTTTAGCATCATTACTCCAGCCACATGATCCTTCAGAAATCATTCTAATATTCAGATTTTCTGCTCAGAAAACATTTATTATTATTATGATGTTGAAAACAGCGGAGTCGATTTTTTTCAGGTTTCTTTGATGAATAGAAAGTTTAGAAGAACAGCATTTATCTGAAATAGAAATCTTTTGTAACATTATAAATGTCTTTATCATCACTTTTGATCAATTTAAAACATCCTTGCTAAATGAAAGTAATAATTTCTATAATATA